CTCTGCAGTTTCATCCTATTTACTAGTGAAACTGGTCCTTGAAAGTCACATGAAATGGAGTGGTAAAATAGTAAAAATAGTAAAATAGTAAAATATTACCATTCTCTAAGAGATCTTAGGCTATTTATTACTCAGTAACCCAAGAAAAAATGTACTCAAAGCCTTCCTAGAGTACCCCAGAAGGTAACCCAAAACACCTGTCCTTTCAAATGGAAGAGAAATTTGAATGATGATTTTACATCATGAAGATAAGATGCAAAAATCAGTTCTGCCTTAAATGTGTCAACAACTAAAAAATAGGTGTATACAATACACACTGATCTGAAATCTTGCTACTTAAGTTTTTGGTGCTCTGATTTCTATAAACTTTCACTTGCTTTCCAGCAACTGTTTTCACTTAATTTTGTTAAGTTTGTTTATATGATGATACTTTTTATTTGTAAAACAGAAACAGACTCACATATTTTGAAAATAAATTTATGGTTACCAAAGAGGGAAACATGGCAGCAAGGATAAATTAGGAGCTTGTAATTAAAACACACAATGTAAAACAACCAACAAGGACCTACTGTATTGTACAGGGAACTCTACTCAATATTTTATAATAAGTTATATGGGAAAAGAATCTGGAAAAGAATGAGTGTGTATTTTATATATAGTGAAATTGGTATATACATACATACATATATATATGTGTGTGTGTGTATATATATATATGTATATATATACATATAGGCAACCCACTCCTATTTCCCACTCTTGCCTGGGAAATCCCACAGACAGAGGAGGCTGGCAGGCTATATCCCATGGGGTTGCAAAGAGTCAGACATGACTTAGCAAATGAACAGTAACATATGTAACTGAATCAGTATGCTATACACATGAAACTCACTCAGCATTGTAAATCAACTATATACTCCAATAAAATTTTTAGGAAGTATCACTGAAGGAAGACATTCTATGTGCTTGGATTAGAAGAATAAATATTGTTAAAATGGCCATACTACCCAAAGCAATCTACAAATTTAATGTGATTAAATTAATCAAATTTAATTAAATTTGATTTAAATTAAATCCCTATCAAATTACCCATGATATTATTCATAGAACTAGAACAAACAGTCCTAAGATTTATATGGAACCATAAAAGACTCAGAGTTGCCAGAGCATACTAAGGAAAAAGAACAAAGCCAGGAGGCATAACCCTCCCAGACTTCAGATGATACTACAAAGTTAGAGTAATCAAAACATCATGGTACTAGAACAAAAACAGACATAGGGATCAATGGAACAGAACAGAGAACCCAGAAATAAACCCACACCCCTACAGTCAATTAATCTTCAACAAAGGAGGCAAGAGTGTAAAACAGAAAAAAGACTCTCTCCAACAGGTATTGTTGGGAAAACTGGACAGCTGCATGTAAAAATCAATGAAATCAGAACACATCCTCTCACCATGCACAAAAATAAACTCAAAATGGCTTAAATATAAGACATGACAGCATAAGATCCCAGAAGAGAACATAGGCAAAACATTCTCTAACATAAATTATGGCAATATTTTCTCATGTCATTCTCCCATGGTAGTAGAAATAAAAGCAAAAATAAACAAATGGGACCTAATCAAACTTATAAGCTTTTGCATAGCAAAGGAAACCACAAATAGAAAAAACCTACAGGCTGAGAGAAAATATTTGCAAGTGATGTGACCAACATGGGTTTAATTTCCAAGATATGGAAACAGCTCATACAACTCAACAACTGAAAAAATAACCCAGATGGAAAATGAGAAGAAAATCTAAATAGATGTTTCTTCAAAGATGACACCTAAATGACCAATAGGCACATGAAAAGATGCTCAACATTGCTATCATTAGACAAATTCAAAACTATAATGAGTACAACTTCACACAGGTTAGAATGGCCATCATTTAAGAAATCTACAAATAACATGCTGGAGATGGTGTGGAGAAAAGGGAACCCTACTACACTTTTGGTGGGAATTTAAGTTGGTACAGTAACTATGGATAATGGTACGGAGGTTTCTCAAAACACTAAAAATAGTTACCATATGATCCAGCAATCTAGCACTCCTGGGCATATATCTGGAAAAAACTACAATTCAAAAAGATACATGCACCCCTATGTTCATAGCAGCACTATTCACAATAGCCAAGATACGGAAACAACTTAAATATCCATCAACAGAGGAATGAATAAAGAAGATGTGGTGTACACACACACACACACACACACATATATATATAGTGGAATATTACTTAGCCACGAAAAATAATGAAATTGGGTCATTTGTAGAGACATAGATGGACTTAGTGAAGTAAGAAAGAGAAAAACAAGTATCGTATATATGTGGGATCTGAAAAAATTGGTATAGACAATCTTATTTACAAAGCAGAAATAGAGGCAGAGACACAGATGCAGAGAACAAATGTATGGATACCAAAGGGGAAAGTGGGGGTGGGATGAATTGGGAGATTGGAATTGACATATATGCAACTATTGATACTATGTATAAAATAGATAACTAATGAGAACCTACTGTGCTAGAGAACCTAGCACAGGGAACTCTACTAAATGCTCTGTGGTGACCTAAGTGGGAAGGAAATCCAACAAAGAGGGGATATATGTATATATATAGCTGATTCACCATGTTGTACAGTAGAAACTAACAGCAGTGCAAAGCAACTATACTCCAATAAAAATTTTTTAAAAAGATGTGCATATATACAATGGAATACTATGCAACAATAGAAAAGAATGAAATAATGCCATTTGCAGCAACACACATGGATATAGAGATGAAGTGAAATAAGTAAAAATAAGAAATAACAAGTCTGGTTACAGCCAATCTGTGGGCATAGAGCCCAGCACTTTTTGACCGTGGCTGTGGCTGCTACATCGTGGCCTTGGAAAAGGCAAGAAGAGACCCTCCCTCCATCTGGGGCAAGAAGATCAAGGCTCAGGCTCACAAAAGCCACTTGTCTGTCTAAGGCTCATAGGAGAAATGAGAGTCCACTGACAGATCAGCAAGAAGATCCCCAGAGGTTCAGCAGGAACAAGCAATGATCAGAAGTAACCATCAGTTTCTGCTGGCACACTGCTCATCCAATCACCATGACTTTAAAGTAAAATGACTCTTATTTTCCCACCAAAGACAAGTTCTGAGGCTTTATCAAGCTAAAAAAAGGTCTTCTTACAATAATAGCTATCCATCATAACAAAAACAAATTTTTCTCACTACTTTGCAAGTTGTTCTCCTGTGCACATTAATTAGCTTTTAACTATTGTAAGATTCTGACAGTGACTCAGGAAACTGAAACCAGGGCTCTGTGACATCCTAGAGGGGTAGAATGGGGTGGCAGGTTCAAGGAGGAGGGGACATATGTATACCTATGGTTGATTCATGTTGATGTATGGCAGAAACCAACACAATTTGGTATTGGTTTAAAATAAACAAACTAAAAAAAATGAGAAATATATGTAGAATCTAAAATATGACACAAGGTGGGGGGATGGGGTAGTTAGGGAGTCTGGGATTGATGTACACACTGCTGTATTTACCATGGATAACCAATAGGGACCCACAGGGAACTCTGCTCAGTATTATGTAACAATCTAAATGGGAAAAGAATTGGAAAAAGAATAGATACATGTGTATGTTTAACTTAATCACTCTGCAATACACCTGAAACTGTAACATTGGTAATCAACTATACTCCAATATACAACAAATAGTTTTTTTAAAAAGTTGAAAGAAAATATGACACAAATGAACATATCTACATAACAGAAACAGACTTACATATGGAGATCAGATTTATGGTTGCCAAGGCATAAGAGGGGTGGGGGAGGGATGAATTAGGAGTTTGAGGTTAGCAGATGCAAAATATTATATATAGAATGCATAAACAACAAGGTCCTACTGTATAGCATAGGGAAATGTATTTAATAACCCATGATAAACCATAATGGCAATGAATATAAGAAGAACTTATATCCATGTATAACACAATCACTTTACTGTATAGCAGAAACTAACAACACTGTAAATCAACTATGTCAATTAAAAAAAAGTATTGAAAAACTTTGTGTCCTCTAACACAACTCTTTGAAGTTACTTTATATTCCAAAAGCAAAATAAAACTTGGGCTGCAAAATCTGCCACCACATAGGAACAATCAAAAATCAAATCAAAATATCCCACATTTACCCTGTTTTCAGGCTTTGTTACCGATTTCATGCAGGTAGTGCCAGCAAGGCTACGAAAGCAGCCTATGTTTATTGCAAATTCAGCTGACTACTGAAAGTATAGAATGACTTCATAAATAGAATACCTGTAAAGTTTGTCCTAATGGTCTATGATGGATGCAAGTCAGCTGACCAGCCAGTGATGCACAGGGATGGAGAGGATAAGCATGCAGAGAATGGATCTATTCCATTAGGGATACTCAAGCAGGCATCTGTCACGGACTGGAGTTGGGTGCTAAGAGTCCATTCCAGACCGAGTTTCTAGGATTCTGAAACTAAAGAATACCAGGTATTCTTTTGAAAGTATTATTGAGCTCTGTTTTGCTTCTCAGACCGCAGGGAAGGAGGCCAACCCTGGGTTGGGACTCCTGCCCAACAGTGAATGCCCTAGTGCCTCTGTCTCGTGCTGGCCAGATGGAGGCATCACCTAGCCCAGGTAGGTTTTGACAAGAAGATAAAAGTCTGGCACCACCACAGGCCCTCAACTCTTTGTCTTTATCCAACTAGGATAGGTTATGATATGTGGAAGCCTCAAGTGCTTGTGGTTTCATGTGTCCTTGGGATCCCTTCCTACCCTAGAGACTTTTGACATAGAGAAGAGAGCATTTCTACCTGTACCTCAAGAGTTCGATGTCTTAGCATGTGTGTACATTTCCTCTCTCATCTTCCGGCAGAAGCTAGCTCCCCAGTCAATTAAATTCTTGAACCAAATGCTGTTTTTTTTGTGTGTGTGTGGTAACTATAATCATGAATGTATCCAGCTATTAGTAACCAAAGAACATGAGGAAAAGAGATGGGCTCGGATTGCTTTGGGGAAGATTCTAGAGGAAGGACAGAGACACAGTGAAGACGAAAAGGACCACTTAACCAGGACAAATTACTCGAATTGGACATCAGTGAATTTATATTTTGGTTAGAATTTTGCAAACAATTTTTCTAAATCTTTAAAAAACGATGTCTTTCCAAATAATCACCAAACTCCCAACTGGCACAAAACACTCTGAAGAACTGAGTGGACCATAACCAATTACATAAAACACTACTGCCAGCAGAAAATTCCTGATGCTTGATACGTGTTCAAAGTGAAAGCTACGCATGCATCTTTCATATTAAACCACTGACGTTCAGTGAGGTTCAGCTTGAAGACACTGATCTTCTATCATTTAGAATGCAAAAGGGTGATCAGGGCAGATTATTATGGAACTAAGAATATGCATAATTTTAAGGGAAAGATGTATTTATCACTCAAGAAATACTATTTAAAATATTAACAGTTTAAAAGGAACATTAACTGTGAATAGCAGTTAGAACACAAGGAAAATATGACATTTAAGCAAGTTAATGTTAACTCAATAGAAATCACATCATCATCAAACTTTCTGTAGAGAATTTGTGAATGCCATCTTATCTTTTGCTTAAGTTCATACAGAGTCCCAGAAAAGCATGTGAATAAGATCTGTGTTTGACATATTTACACCTATATCTTATCTGCTTTAAGAAAAAACACTCCTTCAAAACCCTACACTATGAAAAACTATTTTTAGGAATTTTTATTTGGTCCGTTGATCTAACAAGGCTGAGATCGCAAATCTTTCATCCCCAAGTTAAAAATTGGAGCAACAAAACAAAACTCCAGCAAGGCATAAATAAGATAGTAAAGTGCATATATACAATCCCAGAAAACTTTTGATTGGGAAGAGCAAAAATTTCTAGTGCAAAAACTGCTTTTGCCAGCAAAGCTCCCTCTCTGAAATCAAAGGGCTACAATAAAAGTTAAAATTGGAACGTGTTTAAGCAATGCCTCTTTTCAGTCAAGAGTTAATATATGTGCATGCACCTTGGCCCAAACTATATTCAACCTGGTAAAAGGGGGGAATTTCAGAGGACAGTTCAGAAACAGAATTTCCTGATCCAAGGCACTGCTTTCTCCAGGTGCCCAATGAGCAAGTTCTTTAGATGTGCAAGCTGATGTGCATCAGCTGCAAGTGGACACTTGGAAAAACCCCAGGAACATACTTGCAGCGTGCTCACGGCTTGTGAAGCGTATTCAAACACGGTCTCTTTATCTTGGTTTTGTCTTGTGTCTCTCTGTTCTTTCGAGCCCAAACTTGACTCTCTGCAACGTTTTGTGCTTTTTGTATTTGAACAGAGACTGGGCATTGTCTGTGGGAATTCCCTTGGGTTATATCACCATGGCCTTTTGAACATCTGTTTTTATCTTTTTTCTGGAATTCATAATAAAATAGTTTTGCATTTCTCAGTACAATTACATAGATGAAGGATTTTTTTCCCCTTTTCCTTCAAGGATCCAAGTTGAAAGCTCTTAGGAGGACATCCAGATCACCGAGATTAGCCGCCTGGAAGAGTTCCGGCTGGTCCATCAGAGAAAGGGCAATTCTAAGGGCAGCCCAGATATTCCCAGAGATGGCAGGATGAGGGACTTGCTGCTGATTCCTGCTCTTTCTTTGCAAACTGAGGGCAGTGAGAAAATTGCTGACCGCTTCTCTAAGAGGGTAAAAAAACAGACATTTAAAAATTCAACAGATTTCAGAGTTAGCCAACTTAGAAGTAAGATAAAAACGAATTATCATCTTGGTCTAAAGTCCAAAACCACCTCTTTGGTGTTTTGGATCACGAGGTGAACAGCTTTCTGATTCTCTCACTATTCCTTTGTGAAGTCATTGTTAAACATAGTGAAATCAGAAAGAAGGAAAGTAAACTATGTTTTAGGTATGTCACATGGGACAGTTAGAACCATTGCTAACTCATTAATGCATTTGATTTTCTCCTTGCTCCAGGAATGATCTGATGACTTAACACCTTTACAGATATGATTTGTATAAACAGAGGCGGCATCTGACCTTACTCTGAAACTATGTAGTTTAGCTTTTTTCATTAGTTTAACTTTTCTCAAAATAGGAGGCAGCCAGGGTTCAGTTGAGTTTGAGTTTCAAAGCAGCTGGTTATTTAGCCTTAGGCAAATTTCTTCTCTAAATCTCAGTTTCCCCAACTGAATAAAAGTCATTTAAGAACCTTGTTGTGAGGTATAGCTGAATCATTTATGTGAAAGCTCTATCATTAAGTTAGGTCAATAGCTCTCCATGTGTGGTCTGGGGAACTCTGGGGATCAGTGAGGTCAAAATTATTTTTATAATAATACTGAGATGTCATTTTACAGATTCATTCTCATTTCCTCATGAATATACAATGGAGTTTTCCAGCGACTTTTATGATGTGTGATATCCCAATAGACTGAATGCAGAAGCAGAGTAAGAATGTCTTCTATAAGCAAGATATTCAAGAAATTTGCAAAAATGGTAAAAGAATGCCACTCTTCTCAGTAAACAGCTTGTCTGGGGGAAATTTTTTTGGTAAAATATATAATTTATATAAACACATAATTGGTTTATTATTTTTAAATGAATCTCTTCAACTTTTCTCAATTTCTAATATGGTAAATATTGATAGGTATAACCCACATAAACAAAAGTCCCTTCAGATTCTCAATAATTGTTAAAAGTGTAAAGGTGTCCCAAGAACAAAAAGTCTGTGACCCGCCTAGTCAGATGCTCTCCAAAGGCCTAGCTCCTGTGGTCCACGACCCTGCTTCTGTTGCTTGTGTGCCTGGAGTACTTCCTGGAACCGCCCTCTTCAGGTCCCCATCACCTGGAACATGTATTACATATCTGACAAACTTGTCTTTGCCAAGAATGACATCTCTTTAACTTGTTTCTTCTTTACTCTTCTTAAAAGCTTTTCACACATTTGATCTCATTTAGTCCTACAAGGCAGTTACTGTTAAGCATCCTAAGAAACCATAAGGAAAGCAAGGCTGGATTTCTGATTTCAGCACACATGATTCAGGCATTTGCTCATCAACACTGCTTGGCTCAGACAGTAAAGAATCCACCTGTAATATGGGAGACCTGGGTTCAATTCCTGGGTTGGGAAGATACCCTGGAGGAGGGCATGGCCACCCACTCCAGTATTTTTGTGTGGAGAATCCCCTTGGACAGAGGACCCTGGTGGGCTATGGTCCAGGGGGTCGCAACAAGTCTGACACGACTGAGTGACTAAATGCACACACATTGTTAGATCTGCCCGGAAGTAAAGGGCACTGGAGGTAGCAATTGGGTAATGGAAGGGAGTGGGTGTTTTCTCATCACCCCTCTTCTGGATTTCTTGTGATCAAGCCAGAGAGGAGGATTTATAACAGATGCACAAGGAAAGTTTGCCATGGAGGCACTTTCGGCTTCCTGGCACAGCTCAAATGATGACGACTCCATTTACTCTCATCATCCTAGGCCTGTAAGAACTCTGGGGAAGAAAGATGCTGGAATGCCCTCCTGCATAGGCTGCTCCCGCCCCAGGGTGTGGCAGTGGTCTCTGAGGGCCATGGAGGGTAACCGCCTAGAAGAGTCTAGCCTTAGCCTGCTGGCCTCGTCAAGCAGCTCTAGGTTTTTCTCACGAAGATAGCCTAAGCCTGTTCCCCAGCTTAAGGACTCAGAGGTCTTTGGGGAACTCAGAAGATTATACACGTACAAGTGTGAACAGTTCCAAATGTTACACATACACATGTATGTATAAGTTAAAATTGTTTAAAATGTTATGTCAAGATTAAGAAAAAGCACATTTGTTTAAAAGCATTCTTCACCTTACAGTAGGTTTCCCTCATTATACTAAGAATAAACACATTACTATCAAAGGGGATGAGATTTATGTTTTCAATTAAAATGGGGTCCTCACTTTCGAATGGCTCCTTCCCAGGTGGCTCAGCGGCAAAGAATCTGCCTGCAGGACAGGAGACGTGGGTTCAATCCCTGGGTCAGGAAGATCCCCTGGAGAAGGAAATGGCAACCTGCTCCAGTATTCTTGCCTGAAGAATCCCATGGACAGGGGCCTGGCAGGCTAAGGTCCAGGGGGTCGCAAAGAGTCAGACACGACTTAGTGACTGAACAATCCAGCCCTCACTTTTGAAAAGGTTAAGATTTTTTGGTCTAAGCTCTACTTTCAAGCTTCTACTGACAAAAGGGGAGCATTTTAAGCTCCGCCTCAGTTTCATACCAACAATTTCCTCTCCTTATTTCAACTGTATACAGTATGAGGAGAGTGTTTGCCTTTGACTCTTCATAGAACATGTGAGATGAGAAACAGCACATGGTATAGGTCCATACACAGACACCTGCATTCTTGAGGGAGATTTTAGGTTCCAAGACCAGTCGATATGGACAAATTGGCACCAGCTCTTGGCTTTTTTCTGGGCCATATCTCTACTGAGGGTTGTTACTTCCTAAGGACATAATTATACCGAAAGTGAAACTTGTTTTCAGAATGCATTTAAGCCTATATCGTCTTTTTTCTCAGGAAAAATGCAAGATGTTTATTATTTCACAAGGTTTCCCATATCATAAAAAGACCCACAAAGTATAGTCAAAACACTTTGCTGTTTCAAAGTATCTAAGAATGTTCAAACTACTGCACAATTGCACTCATCTCACACGCTAGCAAAGTAATGCTCAAGAATCTCCAAGCCAGGCTTCAACATTACATGAACCGTGAACTTCCAGATGTTCAAGCTGGATTTAGAAAAGGCAGAGGAACCAGAGATCAAATTGCCAACATCTGCTGGATCATCGAAAAGGCAAGAGAGTTCCAGAAACACGTCTATTTCTGCTTTATTGACTATGCCAAAGCCTTTGACTGTGTGGNTGAGCACTGAAGAATTGATGCTTTTGAACTGTGGTATTTGAGAAGACTCCGGAGAGTCCCTTGGACTGCAAGGAGATCCAACCAGTCCATCCTAAAGGAGATCAGTCCTGGGTGTTCATTGGTAGGACTTATGTTGAAGCTGAAACTGCAATACTTTGGTCACCTGATGCAAAGAGCTAACATATTGGAAAAAGACCCTGATGCTGGGAAAGATTGCGGACAGGAGGAGAAGGGGTTGACAGAGGATGAGATGGTTGGATGATATCACTGACTCAGTGGACATGGGTTTGGGTGGACTCTGGGAGTTGGTGATGGACGGGGAGGCCTGGCGTGCTGCGGTTCATGGGGTTGCAAAGAGTCAGACACAACTGAGTGACTGAACTGAGCTGAACTGATCAAAACAGACCGATTTAGCAAACAAGACTACAGGATGCACAATTAAATCTGAATTTCAGATAATAATTTTCATTATTAAGTATGTAACATGCAATATTTGGAAAATACTTCTCTAAAAACATACTTGTGTTTATCTGAGATTCAAACTTAACTGGGCATTCTACATTTTATCTGTCAACCCTAAAATTGACCCATTCTTTACTGGAGACTTTATGCTTGAGATTAAAAATTCACACTTCAGCAAATTTTGTCCATTTCTACCTCTTATGGATTTTCATGGCCTCCTGCAAATAGCTGCCCTACTGTGAATGCCAAGAAAGTATTTCATTGACCCCTCATATTTTTTTTTTTCCTACAGTAAGAAGTTACAATTAAAACTCATCTGGAAGCTCTGCAAAATGTTCATGTAAGGGAGGCTCTTCTAAAGCTTAGCATGTACATCAATGAAGTTAGAACATTCCCTCACACCACAGATAAAAATAAACTCAAAGTGGTTTAAGGACTTAAATATAATACATGACACCATAAAACTCCTAGAAGAGAAGATAGGCAAATCATCCTCTGAAACAAAGTGTACCAGTGTTTTCTTAGGTCAGTCTCTCAACACAAAAGAAATAAAAGCGAAAATAAGCAAATAGGACTTAATCAAATTTACAAGGTTTTGCACAGCAAAGGAACCATCAACAATATGAAAATATAACCTATGGACTGGGAGAAATGTTTGTAAATGATATAGCTAACAAGGGATTAACTCCCCAAATATACAAACAGCTCATACAGCTCAATATAAAAAACCCCAAAAAACCCAATCAAAATATGGCAGAAAACCTAAAGAGATATTTCTCCAGAGAAGACATACAGGTGGCTAACAGTCACATGGAAAGATGCTCAACATCGCTAATCATTAGAGAAATACAAATAAAGACTATAATTACACTGATCAGAGTGGCTATCAAAAAGTCTGCAAATAATACATTCTGGAGAGGGTGTGAAGAAAAGAGAATCCTCCTACACTATTGGTGGGAATGTAAATTGGTCCACTATGGAAAACAGCATGAAGGTTCCTTAGAAAACTGAAAATAGAGTCACCATGTGATCCAGCAATCCCACCTGGCCATATATCTGGAAAAGATGAAAACTAATTTGGAAAGACACCCCTCCCCCCTCAGTGTTCACAGCAGCACTATTTATAATAGCCAAGACATGGCAGCAATGTAAATGTCCACTGGCAGATGAATGGATAAAGGAGATACGGGGCATATATATATGTATAAAGTGGAATAGTACTCAGCCACAAGAAGAATGAAAGAATGCCATTTGCAGCAACACGGGTGGACCTAGAGAGGGTCATACTGAGTGGAGTCAGCCAGAGAAAGACAAATAATATAATGTCACTTATTTGTAGAATCTTAACAAATGATATAAATGAACTTATTTACCAAACAGGAACAGACTCATAGACATAGAAAGCAAATTTATGGCTACCAAATGGGAAAGGTGAGTTAGAGATAAATTGGGAGTTTAGGATTAACAGATACACACTACTATATATAAAATAGACAAACAGCAAGGATTTACTGTATAGCATAAGGGAATTCAATATCTTGTTAAAAAAAAACTATAATGGAAAAGAACCTGGAAAAGAATATATATATATATATCTGAATTACTTTGCTGTACTAGAAACTAACACAACATTGTAAATCAACTACGCTTCAATTTTTTTTTTTGAAAAAGGCTTCCTTCAGTGAATTCAATATGTCTATGTGTACATGCGCATTTGTTTATATCTCTTCTTGTTCCAGAAGAAGGACCTAAGGCGTTATAAAATCTATATATACAACCAACCTAGTAAGTGAATAAAGGGAGTAAAAATTAGAAATCAGGTTAGGGGAATCAGAGTCAGGAATGAAGCTTATAGATGGAACATGCATCATCAGGCTGATGGGCAGGGAGGTGGCACAATTTGACTCTGGCCCTTTGTGTGGCTGACGTAAAGAGGGCCTTTGCTGTGACACACTTCACAATGTCCACAGAATAAAACAGACTGGGTGCTTAGGAATCACAAAGCTATTCTTGGGTTTTGACCTGAGTAAGATCCTCTTAGAGGACAGAGTGCAATCTAGTGACTGATGTTCTTTCTAAGATCCTCTGAGGATAAATGCAGCAACTCGTTTCTAAAGTTTCAGTATTTGCTGGTGGCAAAATGCTCTAATGTGGTTCAGAGATTGCAATTCTTCAGCTGTCAAAAGAGTACAATCCAGTTATGTGGCTCTCTCATGACTTATCTAAATGGTAATAATAATGATGATGATGGCAATGATAATACTCAGACTAATGATGCCCACTAGGTATTGAACATCAGTTCTGTGCTAGGCAATTACATTTAACCTGCACTATAATCCTGTAATATAGATATTACCTCTTTTATTTTTTTATCCAAGTGAAGAAACTGATGCTCAAAGTTATGTGCCCAGAATTATGAAACCAGTAAATGGCAGAGCTCTGATGTGAACCCAAGTTTGTCTGATTCTAAAAGCCTGGCTCTGAGAATGAGAAAGGGTTTACATTTTTTGTGTAGTTTGACACTAACATTAATTTCTCTTTTTTCCCCCCACTTAAGAAAAGTAACACCTGTTGATTTAGAAAATAGAAAATAATAGGAAAATAAAGAAGAAAAACCACCCAAACTTTTATTACTCAAAAAAAAAAAAATGTAATTTATGCTCTGTGTTGATGGGGGAACAGATGGAGGATATAAACCTGAAAGAAAATAAGGAGTCACGAGAGAAGGAGCAAGACATTCCAAACTTTAAAACCACCCTTTGAAGTTTTCATTTTTTTAAAAACTAACTTTACTTGTAAATTAGGTTTGGAAAATCTGGATTCTAGGTTGTGCTTTGCCAAAAACTGGCTCTGAGACCTTATTGAGTCATTCTTCTGTATTCCTCCATTCCCAGCCATGGTTATTTTCCCCCTTACCTGGGAAATGAAGGGTTCCTTTTCTTCCTTACCTGGGAAATGAAGGGTTGGACTGCTCACGTTTCTCGGAGAGTTGCTCTTGGGGGTGTTAAAAACCCAGATGACTTGCCCTAATTCCAAATCGATCAAAATCTTTGGGAGAGGAGCCCCAGAATCTACATTTCACAAGATGCCCAAATAACTGCTGTTCTCTAATGACTAAGAAACATGGAGGCGGACAGTTCCTGTCTCAACAGCCCTCGGGATCTGAAGATCTGAAACTCACCCTCAACAGGAGGAGATTACTTCACAAAAGGAGGTATTTTTACTGAGAAACAACCCTTCAGGTTAATCGACCTCAGCCCTGCGTGTGACTCTCAGCATTAGCCTGCTGCCCTACATCTGAGACCTTGTTGAGTCATTCTTCTGTATTCCTCCATTCCCAGCCATGGTTATTTTCCCCCTTACCTGGGAAATGAAGGGTTCCTTTTCTTCCTTACCTGGGAAATGAAGGGTTGGACTGCTCACGTTTCTCGGAGAGTTGCTCTTGGGGGTGTTAAAAACCCAGATGACTTGCCCTAATTCCAAATCGATCAAAATCTTTGGGAGAGGAGCCCCAGAATCTACATTTCACAAGATGCCCAAATAACTGCTGTTCTCTAATGACTAAGAAACATGGAGGCGGACAGTTCCTGTCTCAACAGCCCTCGGGATCTGAAGATCTGAAACTCACCCTCAACAGGAGGAGATTACTTCACAAAAGGAGGTATTTTTACTGAGAAACAACCCTTCAGGTTAATCGACCTCAGCCCTGCATGTGACTCTCAGCATTAGCCTGCTGCCGTACCGCACCTGTAGGCGCCCAGGTTGATGCAGCTTATCCCCAGGTTGTATCTGGACCGGATGAAGCCCGGCTGAATCTCCAGCGCTCGTGTGTAAGCCTCCACAGCCTCCTCGCTGCGGTCTCCATTCGCCAAGGTTGCCCCAAGACGGTTCCATAATGAATAGTCCTGGTGAAAAAATTTGAGCTCTCTTAACAATTTCTACAGGCCACAATGACACAGTATTCCAACATTCCTGGTTGAAGGATGATAGCTAAAAATGTACTTGCTACACACTTACCTCTGGTCGAACAGTTAAGGCAGCATTAAACGCGTCTATTGCTCTATTAAATTCTCCACTCAGGTGGAACAGCACCCCCAAGCCTGTCTGCAGATCTGGGTCAATCACATCTCCATTTTGGTGGGCAGCTTCCAGGTATAATTCCTTCACTCCTTCCAGAACAGAGCTACGAGGAAAACAAATCAGATTTGTTGGCCAAATAGTCTGAACACAGATGATTTACTTTTCCCCATACCTAGTTCTCAGGCTTTATAAAACCTAGCACATTGCTATTTAAGTTATTTATATGCCCGAAGTATTTGGCTTTGAAATATGGTATTCAGATAAACATCTAGGAGTGTCCACAAGTAGATCATGTGTCCAAAGTTTGGTTCTGGTCTCTGATCAACCTTTTCAGTCAGTGCTGCTCTTTCAGCAAAATGCTATCCTACACACCATCCTGAAATGCATGGTGGGGGGACCTGAAGCTCCGAAGCTGACTGACTATGTACACGGATGTAATTTAACAAGAAGGATACCTATCAACTGGAGACTTAGACATCCGCCGGGTGAGGCCTGGAGATCCCTTCTTGCTCTTCACAAGGTATTTGTACTTTGGATTCTGCTTAATCCAGTTCTTTAAAGCTTCACAAGCATCTTGCTGATGGCCGGTGTTAGTGTAACTCACAGCCAAAGCCATCAGGGCTTTCAAGTTGTTGGGCTGCAGTTCTAAGCACCTGAAAGAAGAAAATAAAAGTCAATTTCAGAATTTTCTGGAGCCAGAGTTTGAACAGTTCTTTAGAAAACTTGAGGTCTTTACTGACTAAATGGTGCAAAGCATTGCTAAATTTCTGTTAAGTCTCTGGAAAATAACCATATTTATCTACATGAAAATTGGGACCTCTGCCCATTTTTAAGAGTTACAACTCCAGTCTTATAAGTGCATTTGGTAATTTTAATGAGATGGTTTAAAAACTGTAAAAAATGTGGCTAATCCTCTCACATAATTTGGTAGTAATTAGTTTATCTAATGGGAAATAGGGAATATCATTATTTTAATGCTGCTCTTAGCAACTAAACAACAGCTATCAATATATTAAATGTATCTTATCCAAAAAGCAAACTGACTTGAACTAAATTTCAGTGTTAAGATGTAAAAGATTGTACAGTGCTTTGTAAAGGAGAAGGAAATTCCCAGGGTTTCTAGACTACTAATGTTGGTTTAGGAGGCAGAGGCTCCCCCTCATGCTAACCCACTAGCCTCTGGCAAGGGCTTTTCAAACTTTGAAAACTTTGATGTGCATGAGAATCATCAGGGGATCTGGTAAAATGCAAATTCTGATACAGCAGGCCTGGGGGGCAGCCTGAGGCTGTGCAGGTCAGACAGGCTCCCTGGTGATGAGATGCTGGCAATCTGTGGATAAGACTTTGATTAGCAAGCCCTCAGTTCTGCTCAGTCCCACTCTTTGCGACCCAAGCACTGCAGAATGCCAGGCCTCCCTGTCCATCACCAACTCCTGGAGTTTACTCAAACTCATGTCTATTGAGTCGGTGCTGCCATCCAATCATCTCATCCTCTGTCGTCCCCTTCTCCTCCTGCCTTCAGTCTTTCCCAGCATCAGGGTCTTTTTCAGTGAGTTAGTTCTTTGCATCAGGTGGCCAAAGTATTGGAGCTTCAGCTTCAGCATCAATCCTTCCAATGAATAATTGGGACTGATCTCCTTTAGGATGGACTGGTTGGATCTCCTCGCAGTCCAAGGGACTCTCAAGATTCTTCTCCAACAGCACAGTTCAAAAGCATTAATTCTTCAGCACTCAGCTTTCTTTATAGGACAACTCTCACATCCATATGTGACTACTGGAAAAACCATAGCTTTGACTAGATGGACCTTTGTTGGCAAAGTGATGTCTGCTTTTTAATAAGCTGTCTAGGTTGGTCATTAACTTTTCTTCCAAGCAGTAAACGTCTTTTAATTTCATGGCTGCAGTCACCATCTGCAGTGATTTTGAAGCCCACCAAAATAAAGTCTGTCACTGTTTCCACTGTTTCCCCTATCTATTTGCCATGAAGTAATGGGACCAGATGCCATGATCTTAGTTTTCTGAATGTTTAGTTTTAAGCCAACTTTTTCACTCTCCTCTTTCACTTTCATCAAGAGGCTCTTTAGTTCTTCTTTACNTCCAAAGAATAGCAAGGAGACATTAAAAAAAAAAAAAGCCTTCCTCAGTGATCAATGCAAAAAAATAGAGGAAAGAAAAAGAATGGGAAAGACTAGAGATCTCTTCAAGAAAATGAGAGATACCAAGGGAACGTTTCATGCAAAGATGGGCACAATAAAGGACAGAAATGGTATGGACCTAACAGAAGCAGAAGATACGGCAAGAATACACAGAAGAACTATACAGAAAAGACCTTAATGACCCATATAACCATGAGGCTGTGATCACTCACCTAGAGCCAGAAATCTCGGAGTGTGAAGTCAAGTGGGCTGCAGGAAGCATCACTACGAACAAAGCTAGTGGAGGTGATGGAATTCCAGTTGAGTGAGTCCTCACAGTACCTATATCAGTTCTTTAGGAACTGATAATGTATAAAAATATGTGTGTGTGTGTGTGTGTATATCTATCTATCTATCTATCTATCTATCTATCTATCTATTTATAAAGATTAGGGAAAGTGAAAGTCTGTTTGGTAGGGGCTGTTTTTCCATGGTTTAAATAGGGGCTCTAATCAAGTATCGTGTGATGCTATCTCCACCCAGTGAAGTCTAGAATTTTAGTCAGGGGGTCAGGATGATGAAACTATCTCAGCAGATTCTTTGTAGACAATTGGAGTTAACATTATGCTCAGATTATTCTGAGTATGTTCTTCCCGAAGAAAACTTTCAGATGCTGCAGAAGGCTAGAAAGCTAAAAAGAACTATTGATTCAGTGAATCTATTTTATGACTGCTTTTGACATAGACTCTTGTGCCAACGAAGGTCAATTTGTAGATGATAAAACATCGCGATTTAGGAACATGATTTCTTCATACATTGTTTTCCAGAGCTAAATGTAAATAATATCTGGTGTCTTAGTACTTATCTTGGTCAAATTCTGTACAGTGTACTTAAGGGTCAAAAGACAAATCTGAAACAGCGGGAAGTCCTTTAACAAGTGTCCACCTGGCCCGTGATTTTGTGCTTAGTTTTATCTACCTCTGGAGGGCAACAATAGCTGCTTGTTCATTTTCATTCTCTGCCTGGGTTATCCCGAGGAACTGCCATGCCTACAAAAGAATAAAAAACAATGACTGATGTCAACGTTGCAAGAGGAAGCAGAGTCACTCATGTGCTTTAGCTGGTTTGTTTACATGTGACAATTCCCTCTCTGCGGAGCACCCTGACTTGGATGTGAGTCTTGTAAAGGGAGAAACATCACACATCACCTGCATTTCTTCATTCAAATCTCTTGTGGCATCTAGGTCAAGAGTTGCTGTCATTAGTTACAAACTCTAAGTATTTATCCTCTCCTGTGGCCCGTGGAAACCTCTTGAGTCTCTGAGGTTTCATGATATTAGGTATCTTAAAACCAAAAGATAAATTTATAAAAGTATGCATTTATCAGGGAAAGAGGTAGAAAAATAATTTAGAAATATAACTAAGTAGTCAAAAGTTTCCAATAAAGAATCTCGAGATGTACACAATAGAAGTAGTTTGCATAAATGAAAGTCAAGTAGTTACTATAAGAGGTAACAGGAAATTTAGGAACTAGAGGAAAGAAACCATCCACACCCCCCCACAATGTGTTCAGCACAATACATTAGTTAAAAAGCATAAAACACATATAAAATGTAATATAATATACCTATAATTTTATAGCCTACATTTACACTTTGTATTACATTGTTAACTCTTTCATGTTTTTATAAAATCCCCTTCAAAATCTATAATTTTGAATTTCCTTTGTTAAATGGATATCCCATTACTCCCACCACTAATCCCCTTACTGCTCTTTGTTGTTTCTAATCCTTTGCTAAAGTCAATAAGGTGAAAAATATCTTCAAGTAGATAATGTTTTTCACATCTGGAATAAAAGTTTTTAATATAAAAAATTTCCACTTTTGTACTTTTAAGAAGAGTAATTCTCACACCTTTACAAGCACAATGTACATCAACAAAACCTCTCATTACACACATTGTCCTCAGATTTGCCTGGGGGTGTATCAGTTGTAGGGATTTAAAAAGGTTTGCATAACCCGCCCCCACCTTTGAAAGTCAATGCTATGAACATTTTAAAACAAAACTCTATGAAAACATATAGCGTCATCTTGTGTGCATGCTGTGCAATAAGTCGCTTCAGTCGTGTCTCTTTGTGACCCCATGGACTGTAGCCCGCCAGGCTCCTCTGTCCATGGGATTTCCCAGGCAAGAATACTGGAGTGGCTTACCATGCCCTTTTCTGGGATCTTCCTGACCCAAGGATCGAACCTGGGTCTCATATCTCCTGAACTGGCAGGCAGGTTCTTTACCACTAGCACTACCTGGGAAGCCCAGTGTCATCTTAAAGTGCTGAAAAAATTGTATCAGCTTTTTCCCTCATGGGTTATTATTACCCATATGATACAAATTCATAAAAAAGTACTCTTTCTCTCCCAGAATACCAGGGACTCTTGTACATCTTTCAAATATATTCAGAGCAGCTTCTATTTTGATTTCACCTTTCATACATCTTAGAATGCTTTCTTAAGATTGATGAAACAATCTTTTTCTGGGGGCATCTTCCTAGCCTTTGGGTATAGTATCATTTTCACCATTCACAGACTATCAATTATCTGAGCCTTGGGGTCTCCATTGATTCAGAAGCCCTGGTCCTTATCTAGGATCCATTAGTTACCAAGTGTGCTCATTTTCTCAGTTGTGAATCTGGGACAATAATGTATACTTTTCATTAAACTTCCTAGGGTGGTTGTGACAAATGACATATTATGTATGAAAACACACAGCATTTAGAAATGTATGAAGGCATTATTTTGTTGAGGGGGTTGTAGTTTCCTATTAATACAATGACTTTCTTTTCTAAATTGATAGATCTAAAAATTCCAATATTTTGATTCAGAATTTCAACTCTCAATTCAATCTCATTTCACCATAAACATTTTGAGTAACAAGATACTAGGGGCTTTAACTAGTAATTTGTTTATTTGTTCTTTCTGTACAAACTCGGTACAACCAATAATAATGATGAGTGCTAAATACTGACATGTCAGGCACTGAACTAAGCACTTTAATTTTTATGAACTTACTTAATCCTCACAATACCCAATGAGATAGTTATAATTGTGATGCCCATTTTACGTGCGAGGGAACTGAACCTTAGATGGTTTAAATGGCTTGTCCCAGATCACAGGACTCACGGCTAACAAGTGGTAGAGCAGAAATTTGAACCACATGGTTAGGTAGCAGATCCCAGAGGCTTAACCTCTATTCTCTACTGCCTTCTCAGCACTGTATACAAATTTCTGCAGTTCCTCTGGGAATATCCCCATATAAGATGTTTTCTGAAAATTATAAACTAAAAAGGAAGCCTTTATACCTGCCAGTATCTTATTACAGGGCTTTGCAAGTGGGAGACTTAGTGAACCAAGATAAAGCTGCAGAAGTCTCTTTGGTGGTTTCCCAGTCTGCATGTCCAATGACCCTTCATGTCTCATAGAAAGGGGCTTGTCTCATGTGCAGATCTGGTCATGTCCCTCTCCCACAGTGGTTCCCCATGGCTTTCAAGATGAAGTTCAACTCTTGGATACTTCTTTTTGCCTTCTCTCTTGCCATGGATCCAATGTTTCCTGTCTCTCTGCCACCCATGAACCATTCCCTCTAAACAACAACTGGACCTCCTTATAGTTTTTAATCATCTCTCCTCAAAATTCAGCTTTGGATTCACTTGGAGGGCAAGGCTGGGTCAGAACTCTTGCTTTTTGCTCTCCTAGCATCCTGCGCATACTCTGACACCACATTTATTACACTGCACTGACTGATTTACTTGTCTTGCAGATAGATCACAAATCTGTCCTTTCAACTGGTCCATTTTCTCTAGCTCTTTAATCCTTTAGCCCAGCCATGCCTGGCACAATTCTTGGGACATAATACATGCTCAATAAATGCTAAGTGAGTAAATCAAGGGTGGGATATGGTGTGGCTCTAGACCCAGACGAAACCATACTCTGCCCCGTGAAAACTACTGCTGAGCCTCCAGGTTGGCAGTTTTGGTTTTTCATTTCTTGTCCCCATCTTTTATTTTTGGGCACTGTCGACACTGTAGAGGTGGTTAGAAAATAGGTACCTTTTTGTAACTTACAAACATGTATCAGACTTAGCGAGGTTAGCTCCTTTGGGGAACTTTACTTGATGAAAATGCCACCTAGGAGAGTGCTCTGTCACCCTCTGTCCCTTTTAGCACACGAAGCCCCTTTCTGAGCCTGGCAGGATGAAGGGAAATGATACCTCTGCATCTCCAGGGTCCTGAAGAATTGCTGCCTCCATGAATAGGATGGTGACTGGCAGGTCCCCTTCCTTCAGCCTTTTTAAGCCTTCTTCAAATGCTCCAGGCCAGTCTTTGAAGGGGTTTTCAGTATGAAAGTAATAACCCTACAACACAGAGAGGGGCCAACACAGACCCACTGATTTAACTCTTCATTGTTACATTCAATCAGTTCTTTCTGAATTTGAATTTAAGTACTTTTATTTATTTAATTTCAATGAAGTTTAAATTGCTATTTTTTTCCTTATTGTGACTGTAGTACATTTTCATGGTGTAAATGTTAGATATTATTTTGTTACTGAATATAACAAAATAAACAAAAAGATACCTGTAATGTTGCAACCTAAATATGATCACTGTTAATATTTTGGAGTTTGTTTTCCTTCTGATATTTCTTTTGTTCTTTTTGCTTCAGCCATTTACCCACAAGATTTTAAAAATATTGACTTTTATGACAAACTTTTGTGGAGTGCTGCCATGCACTCTCTTGAAATGTTAATACCACATACTGTATATCTGTTTATATACAGTGGCCCTTTGGAGGGCTATGAACTATTGTAGCATCTAGGATTTCACCTTCTACTCAGCAAACCAGTTTTTGTCCCATTGTAGGGCTGTATCTCTCCATTGAGAACGCATGTTTAAAAGTTATAGATTTTCTTTTGTTGCAAAAATTTAAACAATACAGATTTTACAAATAATCTTCTAGTATTTTCTATGAGTATATAAGTTAAATAAGTCCATGCTATAAAAGCAAGGTTGTGTCTTAAGTCCCATTTAATTTTAGTTATTAAAATTATTTATATTATGCTAAAAATTAATCAATCCTCTTTCGATGGTCACTCAGGTTACTTTTAATTTTTATTGTTGTTATCACAAATAACACTACAGTGAAACTCTTATGCTCAAATCTTTGACTGCATATGATTATTATCTTCAGATAGACTTCTAGAAGGATTTATTATGCTCAAGGCTATGAACTATTTTGAGCCCTTGATATATGTAGCAGAACTGATTTTGAGAAAGTATGCCCTGATAAACTCTCATCAGAAGTATCGGAGATAATATTTGTTGCATCCTTAGTAGTAGAGACTATCATAAAAACCAATTTGATAGATACAAACAAGCTAGTCTGTTGATGATGCTACTAAGGTTTTTAAATACATCAAAGGGAGACCTTCATTCTCCCCAGGTGTTTAGAAAGACAAAACTCTTCGTCAGAATCCATAGGGTATGACCAGCTTATGTAGTGATGTTGGGGTGTGGGACCCTGGGAGGGGGAGCTCAGGTGCACGGGTTATAGCCCGGAGACTGATGTTGTACATCTGTGTTCTCTCTTCTCACTTACTTTCAATTTTTTTGTGGAAAATTAATGATTTTAATGAGATGGTTGATCTGATTTTATGAGATTGCCTTGCCTACTGTGGGACAGAGAATACTGGAAGGAGGAAGACATCTTAATGATTATGTAGATTGCTAATCCCCTAAAGTCTGAGACTATTCATTCATCTCAGTCCCCAGTATCTAGGGCAGAGTAAACAGTAAAATTTGTTGGATGGAACCAAATATCATGGAAGTTACTTAGAAATGAATAAACTGAGAATTCCTCTACCACAAAGAACCATAACATATATATATATACATATATTCCCCCTGTGTAAGAAAATTTTCTCTTTTCATCTCTTTCAAGTCACTTAAAATGATTTCTCAGTGTTTTCTTTTTTTTCCAGGCATTTTTAAAAGCATAAATCCTAGAGCAACTGGGGCTTCATGGGAGAATTTAGCTGGCTGTGGACTGTACTCACACATTTTCTGGGGCTCTTACTAGGGGACTATCTCTGAGGAATCCCCTTGGTACTTGACCCAATTGTGTGAAGTGTTATCTTTTCCACTGAATTCTTTGCTAGCAGCATAAAGACTACCCATGAAATAAAGCCTGAAGCCCCCCCCTTTCAACCTCCAGCCGATTAATATCACTTTTGTCAGCTTAGCGACATGGTTTGAACATTGTGGGATGAGCCCAATTCTTGTTCTCACTAGCCCTCAATGTTAGTTCAGTGACTGGCCAAGCTCTGGTTGGCTGCCAAACTGTCTTAACACTGATAAAAAATAAGGGTGTTCCATTCCAGTTTTGCTGCCTTCACACATTGCATGATTACACTGTTTCTATCTACCAGAATTTCTTCCAGGTCAAATTGATATTAAACAGTCTATTTAATTATTGAATTTTCCCCCCACAAAATAGTTATCAACAATTTATAAAAATATGATCCAAAAAGGAGGAGAAAACTGGTCAACATTTGAAAGAAGAGAAATGGTCACCTTCTCACTGGCTGAGATTGTAACCTGGTTCTGGGCTTCCTGGTTCTCCGATATCCAGTTCCTCCGGGCCATTTCTTCCCATTCTGCTTGCATCTTATCCCAAAACTCTGTATCTGACTAGAAGACAGGAGAAATGAAGACAGATGGATTTAAGAACATGCTATATCATTTGGTTTATTTCCAAGAGACAGTTTTTTTCACAGATTAAAATGACTCCTGGGGAGGAATAAAGTGTTCAGATTGGCCACATCCAACAACACTCATGGCTGAAGAGCTTCTGGAGGGCACTCAGCACTCAAGGTGTCAGAGTATTAGCTGTGATTTTTCTCTGGGAGAAACATAGTTACCACCTGAAGAACCAGGATCATATAAAACCAAATTCAGCTAAAAATCCATTATTTGAATAGTTTCAAGTGTGGGTACCTGGCACACATTTTGGGAAGGGCAGTCTCTCCTAGAGTTGCTGCCAGGCAATGGGATTGGAATGCAGAAGTAGGAAGTCAAGAGATACCTGGGGTAACAGGCAAGTTTGGCCTTGGAGTACAGAATGAAGCAGGACTAAGGCTAACAGGGTTTTGCCAAGAGAATGTGCTAGTCATAGCAAACTCTTTTCCAAGAACACAAGGGACGACTCTTGTGACCATCACTAGGTGATCAATACTGAAATCAGACTGATTATATTCTTTGCAGCCAAAGATGGAGAAGCTCTATACAGTCAGCAAAAATAAGACCAGGAGCTGACTATGGCTCAGGTGATGAGCTCCTAATTATAAAATTCAGACTTAAACTGAAGAAAGTAGGGAAAACCATGAGGCCCATTCAGGTATGACCTAATTAAATCCCTTATGATTCTACAGTGGAAGTGACAAATAGATTCAAGGGATCAGAACTGATACAATGCCTGAAGATCTAAGGATGGAGGTTCATGACACTGTACAGGAGGTGGTGAGCAAAACCATCCCCAAGAAAAAGAAATGCAAGAAGGCAAAATGGTTGTCTGAGGAGGTTTTACAAATACCTGAGAAAAGAAGAGAAGCTAAATGCAAAGGAGAAAGGGAAAAATATACCCAACTGATTGCAGAGTTCCAGAGAATAGCAAAGAGAGATAAGAAAGCCTTTCCAAGTGAACAATGCAAAGAAATAGAGGAAAACAATAGAACGGGAAAAATTAGAGATCTCTTCAAGAAGATTAGACATACTAAGGGAACATTTCATGGAAAGATGGGCACAATAAAGGACAGAAGAAGTAAGGACCTAACAGAAGCAGAAGATATTAGGAAGAGCTGGCAAGAATACACAGAAGAACTATACAAAAAAGGTCTTAATGACCTGGACAGTCATGATGGTGTGGTCACTCACCTAGAGCCAGATATCCCGGAGTGTGAAGTCAAGTGGGCCTTAGGAAGCACCACTACAAACAAAGCTAGTAGTGGAGGTGATGGAATTTCATCTGAGCTATTTCAAATCTTAAAAGATGATGCTGTTAACGTGCTGCACTCAACATGCCAGTTAATTTGGAAAACTCAGCAATGGCCACAGGACTGGAAAAGGTCAGCTTTCATTCCAATCCCAAAGAAGGACAATGCCAAAGAATGCTCAGACTACTATACAATTTTTCTCATTTCATATGCTAGCTTAAAAATCCTTCAAGCTAGTTTAAAAATTCTTCAAGCTAGGCTTCAGCAGTGCATGAACCAAGAATTTTCAGATGTACAAGCTGGGTTTTGAAGAAGCAGAGGAACCAGAGGGCAAATTGCCAACACCTGCTGGATCATAGAAAAAGCAAGAGAATTCCAGAAAAACATCGAATTCTGCTTCATTGACTATGCTAAACCTTTAGATCACAACAAACTGGAAAATTAAAGAGATGGGACTCCCAGATCACCTTACCTACCTCCTGAGAAACCTGTAAGCCGGTCAAGAAGCAACAATTAGAACTGGACATGGAATACCAGACTGGTTTGAAATCAGGAAAGGAGTAAGTCAAAGCTGTATATTGTCAGTCTGCTTACTTAAATTCTATGCCGAGTGCATCATGCAAAATGCCAGTCTAGATGAACCACAAACTGGAATCAAGACTGGTAGGAGAAATATCAATAACCTCAGATATGCAGATGATACCACATTAGTGGCAGAAAGTAAAGAGGAACTAAAGAGCCTCTTGATGAAGGTGAAAGAGAAGAGTGATTAAGCTGGCTTAAAACTCAACATTCGAAAAATGAAGATCATGGCATCCAGTCCCATCAGTTCATGGCAAACAGATGGGGAAGCAATGGAAACAGTAACACACTTCATTTTCTTGGGCTCCAAAATCATTGCTGATGGTGACTGCAGCCATAAAATTAAAAGATGCTTGCTCCTTGGAAGAAAAGCGATGACAAACCTAAACACTGTATTAAAAAACAGAGACATCACTCTGCTGACAAAAGTCCGTATAGTCAAAGCTATGGTTTTTCCAGAAGTCATGTATGGATGTAAGAGTTGGACCATAAACAAGGCTGAGTACCGAAAAACTAAAACTTTTGAACTATGGTGCTGGAGAAGACTCTTGAGAGTCCCTTGGACTGCAAGGAGATCAAACCAACTAATCCTAAAGAAAATCAACCCTGAACATTCACTGGAAAAACTGTCACTGAAGCTCTAATACTTTGGCCACCCTATTCAGTGAGCTGACTCACTGGAAAAGACCCTGATGCTGGGAAAGACTGAGGGCAAGAGAAGGGGGTGACAGAGGAGGAGATGGTTTTATGGCGTCATCGACTCAATGGGCATGAGTTTGAGCAAACTCCAGAAGATAGTGAAGGACAGGCAAGCCTGGCGTTCTGTAGTCCATGAGACACAACAAGTCAGGCAGGACTGAGTCACTGAACAACAAGGAAGAATTAGAGTAGCTCCTGTGGGACTGGCTGGGCAGTGGCTTGGGAAGCAGCCGGCCATAGGCACAGAAAGCAACACTGGTTTGTCCTGCTCTGTGCCAGGCTCTGTGCTAGGAGAAAACTCAGCCTAGAGGGTGATGGTCATAAAGCTAGGATTACACAGGTTCTGAACCACAGTCTGGTTTCTAGGCCTGTACTCATCCCATTATGGCAAAGGTGTCCTCCTGGTGCTAAAGAATGAAGGAGACTAGCTTTGGGTGTGAACCCGACTGAACCTTCAAGGTCTTCTATAGCAGGACGATTTTTTGAAAAATAACAATTCGTGTTTTCCTCTTTATAACTTTCCTTTATGTCTTCCCAAGGGGGAAACCAGGCCATTTGCTCTCCCTTACTTCAGGGGATGGAAGCAGACTTTTTCTGCAAGATCTGTCCCTGGTTGGCTTGTATTTTACTGAGCCTGAAGAGAGTACTTGAAGTGTTCTGGAGGGAGGAAAAGGGGACAAGTATCTTAAACACCTTAAGAGAGGAGGGGAGATTTCCAGGGACAGGAAAAGAGAAGGAAGGCGGTAGGTTCTAAGATAGCTTAGCTTTTAAGGATTTCCCTGGCAAACTGGCCTGACCTCCAAGAGGATGAGACAGGGTGTGCTGGGAACTCAGATCCCCACATGACAGAGAAAGAGACACAAACTGGACTTGGATCAACCGTTTGGGACTTGGTTGGCTGTTAGCAGTTAGCATGATAGACAGGAAGGTGGAGACTCTGTCCTTGTTTTTTGGCACCACATAAGCATTCCATATTTGGTTGAGACTAAGTTACCTGCTTGGAAACCACTATTTTCTTTAAAGAAAACAGTGAAATGGGTACTCCTGGAACATCAGAGTTTGGAACTGAGATCCAATTTCTCTGCAAATCTCAGTTTCTATGATTCTAAATCTGTGACTTGCTACATCCTATCAAAGGTTGCTCTTCATCTTTTAATCCTCCCAGTCTCACTCTCTACTCCACCCTCATTCCTGGGTAGTGGTTGTCCAGGGGTGAGACCTCATCTTCAAAGTTGCTCTAAATGGTAATTATAAGCTTATTTCTTCTGAATATAAACATGCAGGGAAAAAGGGCCAGCCCAGTGTGATTAATCCCAGGCTACTAAGTATACAGCGCTTCTTGTTCTTCTTTACTACGTCCAGAATACTCATTTCTACCAGATATGGGTTCTGTCCCATCAGTAGAGGCTTGCTGCTGCTGCTGCTAAGTTGCTTTAGTCGTGTCCGACTCTGTGTGACCCCACAGACGGCAGCCCACCAGGCTCCCCCGTCCCTGGGATTCTCCAGGCAAGAACACAGGAGTGGGTTGCCACTGCCTTCTCCAATGCGCAAAAGTGAAAGTGAAACTGCTCAGTTGTGTCCAACTCTTAGCCACCCCATGGACTGCAGCCTACCAGGCTCCTCCGTCCATGGGATTTTCCAGGCAATAGTACTGGAGTGGGGTGCCATTGCCTTTTCCAGGGGATCTTCCCGACCCAGGGATCAAACCCGGGTCTCCCTCACTGTAGGCAGATGCTTTACTGTCTGAGCTACCAGGGAAGATATATATGTATGAAGTGAATTGAAGTGAAGTCGCTCAGTCGTGTCCAACTCTTTGCGACACCGTGGACTGTAGCCTACCAGGCTCCTCCGTCCATGGGATTTTCCAGGCAAGAGTACTGGAGTGGGGTGCCATTGCCTTCTCCATAGTAGAGCCTTTCCCCTCAACAAAGGCTCAGGACAGCAAGTATCTTGGTAATGTGTGTCTGATATGCTAGAAGTCCACAGAATGGCCACCAGTTATCCAGGTTAAGGTTAGGAATAAAATTCAAAATGTCTCTTTCAATGAGCCTTTCTGGTAGAACACCAAATTGTGCAAACAGAATGATCTCAGGNCCATCTCATCCTCTGTCGTCCCCTTCTCCTCCTGCCCCCAATCCCTCCCAGCATCAGGGTCTTTTCCAATGAGTCAGCTCTTCCCATGAGGTGGCCAATGTATTGGAGTTTCAGCTTCAGCATCAGTCCTTCCAATGAACACCCAGAGCTGATCTCCTTTAGGATGGACTGGTTGGATCTCCTTGCAATCCAAGGGACTCTCAAGAGTCTTCTCCAACACCACAGTTCAAAAGCATCAAATTACTCAGCCATAAAAAGGGACAAATTTGAATCAGTTCTAGTGAGCTGGATGAACCTAGAGCCTGTTACACAGAGTGAAG